TTTTGGCCTAAGCCGAATGTGCGACCGAATGTGGTTTTTTGGCCGAAGGTGGCCAAAGCCGAAGCTTCGGTCGGACACTACTTTTCACTTTAGGTATAGGTAAAGTGAATAGATTCTGTCAAAAAGTAGTGGGACATTTTGTGTAAATTAACCTTAATTACAAAAATGACACAATCAACAATATATAAATTTAAAAGCAAACGACGTACACGTCATCTATGACGTCATAATTTTGCGCACTGGTACCAATACTAAATGTATAAAACGAAGTCTGTAATTGAATATTTTAACCAAATTTACTTTACGTATAGGCCATTTTATAGTAATTTTAGTCGGAATTTTATACAGAATTTAAAAATAAGAAAATATATGGGGTGTCCTGTTTGAAATAACAAAGTTGATGTCACTTTCGGTTACACCGAAAGTGGCATTTTGTTTCAAATATTTTAGAAAAATAGACTTAAATGGATTATAAACGCTTTTTAAATTTTAAATCAATATCTTTTTTGTTGCCCAGAAACTTCTAATATAATGTGAAACACGATATATATTGTAACCTTTAATATGTATATTGTAACCTTTAATATATATATTGTAACCTTAAAGGTGCTGTTCCACCAAAGTGCAGCACACGTGCGGTCAGTGTTGCCACCTATAACTTTTTTTTCGTAATAGACGCATGCGTCAAAATGTAATAGATTTGGGATTTAAGGTAATAGACTATTTTGAAGCAAATTTTTTTGATTCTTTGACGTTTTACCGTTGTCATTAGAATAAAATTGAATTTTCACATGATGCTTTATAATCTGTGCATGATGCTTATGCTATTTTAATTAAATAAAAACTTTATAAACACAAATTTAAGCACACAAGAAACGTCAAACACTCAAGTAGTGTTGCCGATAAATTTCCATAAAAAGAATAATTATCTGTTTTGTACGATAATAATTATACGTACGTACAATGTACGAAATCACATGTAAAATAAAATTAAAATGTACAATAATTTTATGTAAATGAAATTGCACAAGGGAATAAAACTACCCAATATTAACAAAATCTTAAAGTTTGGATAAACAAGTTTATTTTAATTAGCAAGATTTAAAACACTTATATTAGAAAAACCTAGAAAAATTTAATTCTACAATAGTTTTGATGCGCTGCGACAATAATCTTCTGAGGTCTGACAAGTTGCCAGTGGCAACAATAGGACCACAATAGAATATTAAAAAAAAAAAATTACTAGGAAAAAAGTAATAGATTTACATCGTTTCGTAATAGGGTAACATATTTTCTCTAAAAGTAACAGATCTATTACTAAAGTAATAGAGGTGGCAACACTGCGTGCGGCACAGTTTTTCACAGTACGCGCACAACTGTTTTTACTGGTGGATACAAAATAGCGAACACGCACAAAATGTTCGCGTACAGTAACAAGCAGTGCAGTGCACAGTGTGCGGCACTTTTCGGAACGACTTCGATGACCTTGTGCAACACACTTGTTCGCAACCGTCAGTCTTGCTACCGATCGCAAAGCGAAAACATTTGTGCACTGCGGTGATTTTTAAAGGCAAATTAATATGATGGAGTGGAGCAACGATAAAATTATACAGTTGCCTAGACACCTTAAATAGGTACGTAAACTGGTGTTACTCCTACAGTAGGAGTCTCCAGTTGCAAGGTATCTTAATGTTATTGCGAGTCTCAATTCGACGGAAACACATTTTCTGTAATTTGTGTTTTGTTTAGCAATTTGTGGCCCAATAATATTTACTAAATTTTCAAAATCTTGGCAGGCAATACGTGTAAAATTTTTGAATCCACCCAATGGGTCAATTCTTAGATCCTTTAAAAATAAATTAGTTTCCTCTCTTCGTAGGAGAAATGGTCGTACCCAGCAACGTGGTTTTGCTCTTCGTTTTTTAATCTTCCTATTACTACACATCCAGCAGCACAAACTAATAGATCCATCTCAGTCGCCATGTTTTTTGACGCACTCGCACTCATTGTTCTCGCACTGTTCTAAACAATTTGGGAGGAGACAATTTAATTACTGTGCGAAACTGTAACTGTTATGAACAAATGTGCGCGCACAAATATGTGCTGCACAAAATTTTGGTGGAACAGCACCCTAACACAGGTACGTGAATTAAAAAACTTAAAAAATAGGATTTAAACGCGACAACATTGCAAGTTGCTGATAGTTGCAGTGTCTTTATGCAGTGTTATTTAAAATCTTAAAATTTTTATGTTTTGTGAAACAAATAAAAGTCCACTACAAAGAAAAAATTATTAAAAGAAGGTATGGGAAATAAAGCAGACCAGAAAACATGCAGGATGTTAAATGCAGCGAAAGTCTAATGAGAAGAGCAGAGAACAAAGAGAAGAAAACCATAGAAGGTAGAAGGATTGCCTAATTATTAAAAAAACTTAAAGAACTTAATACAATGGGGTAGTTAAATTTTTTCTGACCTATACTTTTTATGGTTTTATTCAAGGCGTTTTGTAATTTTAAACATTTCTGTGAAATCGGAATTTCAATTGAGTTTACCGTTTTCGAGATATTTACAAAACAAAATCTCCTAATTACGTCACTAGGCTATTGACAACGTTGCCAGCTTTTTCTATGGTTGCCAGTGTGTTTAGTTTACGATAGATGGCGCCACGTTATAATATTTTAGTTGAGAAGAAGAATTGATTTTTTGACGTTTCTTTTTTTCGGGTTGTTTTTTTTTAAATTTAGATTATTGAAAATCAATGTTATTGTTATGTTATTTGTAATTGATATTAGATAAGTGATTTATTAATAACGGACTCCAAAGCAGAGAAATCTTGTGGAATGGTTGGTTACATTGAACATTGGAGCTTTTAAACAAAAAAAGTAAGTACCTATAATTATAATCATATTTTGTCGTAAATGCATTTCATTGGTATAATGCCTAGTTCTTTATATTCTTTTAGATATATTATTATTTTTTGTAAATTTATTTCATTCATTTTCAGCTTTATTTTGCCACTTTTTCCTATGAAATAAATTAAACTCTGCTTTAGACAGTTATTAGGTACCTATTTATTACATTTTATTATGTTTCACACGGTGTTTCAATGTGTAAACCTATCAATAAAACTTTTAATTTCAGAATTTTCTTTAACCTTCTCTTCTTCTTCTTTCACTCAACTGACAGTGACAGTATTTGTACATAACCTCTTCGGGTATTTTCTGACATAACCGAATGAAATCATTAACAAGACAACTTGACAACAGGGTAATTTTTAACCAATAGAAATCTTAGAATGTTGGTCACATGACGGGGTTTGTGACGTCATAAAAATTTATATTTTTTGTAAATATCTCGAAAACGGTAAACTTAATTGAAATTCTGATTTCACAGAAATGTTTAATATTACAAAACGCATTGAATAAAACCATAAAAAGTATAGGTCAGAAAAAATTTAACTACCCCATTGTTTTTTTTTTAACAATTTACTTTAAGGGGTTACATACATATATGAGCTTTTAAAAATTAACGGCTTTTGGTGATATTTTTTTGGTATAAAATAATAATTATATTGAAACAAACTATAAAGCATTGAATAGTGTATGTTTCGAAGTATTTGTTAAAAGAATTGTATGCGAAAATATGCAAAATTGTGGAAAATACGTGTAATAAGGTACAACAATTCCAAATTTCAGATGGATCGGTAAATTGGTTTTTGAGAAATCGTGCTCACGGCACGCAGTTACCCAGTGTTCGTCTACACTGACAGATTAATCATTTTGGTTGGACATAGTCAACATTATTGTTTATTATTGCAAAACTGTGCGGTGAAAGTTAACACAAATTTATATGGTACTTCTACAGGCATACTTGCATACCTTACCTTCAATTTTCATGTATACAGTAGGCGTGCCTCGCTGCATTCATTTTTGAGTAGTGGGTGTAAGAGTGGGAGAATATTAATTCGCTTTAAAATAAGGAGGACCGACAATCACCGTCGCCGGCTCAGGTTGATGAAGTTGGCTATTTTTTTTTAAAACGCATTACGCTATTATTAAGTAAATTTACTTTTAAAAATGATTAAGATACTTAAAATGTAACCTAGTCACTTTTAACAGTAAATTTAGTCTAATGTGTAAAATCATTATTTATTTTGCATTTTTAAATGCAGTTATAACTGAAAGATGTTTTCTTATAATAATAACGTTTAAAAATAAAAAAATTCTCTTGAAATCAAACTTATTCTGGGAGTTTTGTGACATTCGAATCGACGGAATAGGACGATCCGGATATTTAACCGAGAATAGGTCCCTTTTTTAACGTAGAGAATTTCCACGTAAAGACCAACTTATCATTTCAATTTTCTGTTGTACTGAGTATAACATAATGAATAATTTATTATTCAATAAAAAATAATAATAGAATATTAAGTTTAAGAATTAATAAGATACCTATTAAGAGAATAATTTAAGCGTTTTAAAACAAACACTTGCAAAAGCAAAACAGAAATGTTGTTTCTCGCCGGTTCAATGCTCCGCCTCCCCTCCCTAGATATTTTACAGCGGCGCAGAGTCTTCGCTGCTGTAAAACATTTATGGAGGGGAGGCGCTGTTCAAGTTTGGGTTTACTCGTGCTGTATACTTTTAAAATGAAGATACGGTATAAGTATAGCATGACCATACGAAATCGATGGTTTTTTTTCTCGTATGCACGTGTACCTGTAGAAGTGGCATATAAATTCTTGTTAACATTTACAACACAGTTAAGCAATAATAAAAGATAACAGGCCAGGTAGCCTTAGCAACTTTAATATTTTTTTTACTCGGAAACCAGACGGTCAATCTTTCTAAAAATTTGTAAATGTCTTTCAAGTACCCTCTACTACAACCTAAAATTTTTTCAACATTTTCTCATAGCAACTTATATCATCCTAAATGTAGTTGATAAAATTCATAATAAAATGTTTTTTTTTAATGCTTTCATAAAATATAAGGTACTTACAGGAACTGAATAGGTATCATCTATTTGAAACTCAGCAGGTTCATTTTCGTGATACTCCATTCGCGTGGTCAATAAATTTAGGAAAATTTTTAATAAATCTAAATTTTCACCATTAACGTTTGAAACTTGAAAAATAGGGCACAACCTAAAGGAAACAATAACAAATTATTATTTAAAAAAATATATTTTATTATCATTTATTACCTTTCAGAGACAAAATTTGTAGCACTCAATACCACATCATCAGTGGTCTTCACCATAACTGGCACCTTTCTGCAACCTGGACTCTTAAGAATCCTTATTAACATTTTAAGGTTATCTTGCAGGACATTTGCAGGACACATGTCAATTTTTGTCACTACAACAAAAACTGGAACTGATAATGCCAAAGCCAAACCTAAATGCTCCTTTGTCATTCCTATTATACCAGCATTGGCACCAACCTAATAAAATAAAATAAAAAATACAGTAGTTTTTAGTTTTTTTAAATAAATATGCGTTTACCATTAACATCCCAAAATCGGGCGCATGCCCAGTCATTCCAAACACTGTGGTTTTTAAGTATCTCTCATGACCAGCCAGATCGATAAATGTTATCACTTTGGAGCTCCTCTCGCATATTTTAACCCAATCTAAAGAGCCATGTTCTGGTTTATTGACAACATTGCCTCAAACACAAAATTAACATAAACTAGCAGGATTCACACGTTAGATATAAATAGGGGTTAAGTTTTATTTTTTGTTAAATAATTATTAATATTCTGATTTTAAATGTTTACCTTCTCCATCAAATCCCAGAATATCATTGCCGACAGAGCTCGTTCGGCCCGATTCCATCTCGTGCTTATGCCGGAACAGTTTTTGTCGCGCTGTCCCTCTGCCATTGTCGAGCTCGCCGTGCGTTAATACTCCCAATAACGTGGATTTTCCAGCATCTACGTTACCAACGACTGCCACTCTGATTTCAAGGAAGTCTAAAAAAACTATGTTTGAAAGTAGGAGTTCCCAAACTTATCACTTAATCAGTTTGTGGCGCACTTACAGGTTTGATTTATTTTCACGGCGCCCAAATAATTTCATTCGACAAAAAATCTCAAAAATACAAAAAATAAAGAACATTGAATACACTTTTGTTTTAATAATTAGAGAGAGCATCTATTTTAAAGCGTTACTGCTGTTCTAAGCATTTTTTGAATGTAAAAAGTGTTATCTATTCACACATTTAATTAATTAGTATATTAAGTTACTTAATGCATTAGTGCATTAAATTGTGAAAAAGTGAGGTTAAACCCGTCAGACAGGTTTAAACAGACTAACAGTTGTCAAATAAAATGTAAAATAAAATTGACTTAAAAATTCTGAAATAGTATATTAAAGTACAAGTTACCGAAGGCCACATATTCCAGCACGAATTCGAAATTTGGTCACGAGCGACGAAGGAGCGAGATTAGCATAAATAAGGTCCTTATTAGTTGGGGACATGATACATGTATCATGGTTGGAGATTTTTCTTGCAAAATATGTCAGTTGGTAACACTTGGTCCTAGACCAAACCTAGGCACTTGGTTTCTAACTAACTGACATGTGGATTTTATTTGGTCACAAAGACTAGAGACAGGAATACAAACTTCCTATACCAAATACGTCGGCACTGAACAAATGCAAATCTCACGGCAGTGCCGGCAAGGGCGTCGATAGGGGGGGGTAATTACCCCCCCCTCAAAATAGAAGTCCTAAGAAAAAAAATTACTAAAAAAAAAATGTTTGGAATCTTAAAACATTGTTTTAAGATTCCATGTCAATTCTTTAAAATTTTTCAACAAATTACCCGAAAAAACCTAGGGCAAATTGGGCTAACTTGAAAAGTTAATAACTTTTTTATCTTAATGTTTTTCCCAATCAAATAGCAAATTAAAAAAACATTTCGATTAATGTAACTATTCCCTATACCTAAAGTTAATAATTTCAGAGATATTTAACAAAAAGGATATGTAACTGTAACAATTTAACAAATCAACAATTTTTATTACTAATTTTGTACTAAATATTCAAAGTGTCCTCGATTTAAATTTAAGCATTTCTTAATTCTTTCTTCTACATTAGACATTGCTCTTCTTGACTATTCTGGGTCTAATATTAGAAATTGTTAAATTTATTTATAGGGAATAATTACATCAATCGAAATGTATTTTTTATTTGAATATGTAAAAAAAGCCGAGACACGGGTATCATTTTTTTAAGCCTATTTTCAAAATCTATAGAATTTTTTTATGGGAGGGAAAAAAATCAAATTTTGTCGTACTATGTAATACAATACAATACAATTGGGTACAATACATTATATAAATATCCCGATCAGTATAGTAATAGTCATTCTCTGTACTTTTTAATAGTAAACATTTAGTAAAATTACCATTATTTTTAACAGTGTAGGGCATTTTTCTGAAATGCTTTATATAGCTATGCCATTGATCTTCAGACAAATTTATTTAATCCATTATACAAATTTAGTAAAATGTAAAAAGCGTAAAACTGTTTTTATTTACTATCAATTGATTTCTAACTCTGAAAATGCCAATTCATTAGTCTGCATTTATAAAATTCACTTAAGTGACGAAATTTAAAAAACTCATCAAACGATTACAAAATTTCACTGATATTTAAATTTACTTTAGCAGTATAAAAATATTGTTTGTGGCTAAAAATTAAATAAGAAAAAAGCCGAGTTTCTGGAAAGACACTGCAAATTAAATATTTATTGTTAGAAATTCCCACGAATTTGCCCAAAATGCATTTTTTTTTCAAAATCACGTTAATTTCGTTCGCTCCCGCTATCATATCATATATGATTTCGGAGTTGTTCTAATTTGTCAACTTCGCTTTGGTACACTAAACTGTTCATGTCAAGGGCGTTGATAAGGGGGGGTAATGGGGGTAATTGTTACATAACAATGTTACAATGCCGTTATGAAAGTGAAACATAGCTGTAACGAAAAATTAACCAAAATATTATGCAACTATTGTAATATGTAACATTACAGTTACATAACCTGACGGTTACAAATAGGTAACTATTTCCCGCTATTTTAAGTAACATTGTTACGTTGTCGTTACATAAATACATTATAATTGTTAAGTTGTTATATAACTTTTTAATGGATTACAATGTTACATTTCCGTTATGAAAGTGAAACATAACTGTAACGTAACATTAACCAAAATGTTATGCAACGATCCTAATATGTAACATTACAGTTACATAACCTGACGGTTGCAAATAGGTTCCTATTTCCCGCTTTTTTAAGTAACATTGTTACATAACATATTCACGTTGTCGTTACATAAATGCATTATAATTGTTATGTATTTTTTTAATGGATTACAATGTTACATTGCCGTTACTTTTTCGCAATCCAAGTTATGTTACATAACATGGCCTTTACGGTTATGTAACATTGTTACGTTGCAACGTTATTATGAGAAAGTCCCGTCAGTTTAAAGCTAAGGCGTACCAAATGATACATAATGTCGTGTTCTGACTTTCCCATAATCAGGAAGACTGTTTAAGGTTCAATGACAAATGGACATGGTGCGCTGTCTTAACTTCGTTTATATACCTAGCCGAGGTGGTAACACGAGCGAGATGTAAATGATGTGTATAAGTAAAAGTTTGTTACGTAGCATAAATGTAACTGTTACGTAACAAACTTATTACAATAATATTGCAAGGTTCCGTTGCTGTTATATTGCTTATTGGTAATTTTGTTACATTACAGTAGTTTCACAATGTTACGTTATTTTTATATTTCCTTTTGGTTAACTTGGAACGGTAACAAATGTTACCATTATTTTAGGTAACTGTTGCGTTGCATTTTAGTAACATCGTTACATTGCAATGTGACTCCTATGTTACATAACGGCAATACTGTGTTACGTTGAATGTTGATCGGGTGGGAGTTAAATAATGTCATATTCTGGCCCGCAAAAATCGTTGAAGAATGAAGCTCATTCTAAAACGATTTGTGTTGACATCTAGTATTGGTATTGGTGTTCTTTAATTGGTAGGTACTAGAGATGTCAATCCCGGGGTCCCGGGATCCCGTAAAAAATGTGTGCGTTCGTAATGGCATAGCTGAACATTAATTGTTTGGAGTCCCCATCTCCATCCTCATCTGCTCAGTATTGAATAATGTTTAGCTAGTCTAGTATGTTAAAAAAGTATCTTGCCGTTCAGAGAATTTCAGGACTGAACTTATAGGATATATGTACCTCTCCAGGACGTCTGTAGGCTTTATTTGAATGGCCAGGCGGTTGTGGCCGGCACTCGGCCAACTATACACAGCCGACACTCGGCCGAGTAAACATAGCCGACATTCGGCTAGGCGGATATGCCCGACAGTTGGCCAGGCGGACATGCCCGTTCTATACGCCGGAAGAAATACGTGTGTCGGGCAAAACGTGTGTCGGCAAAACGTATTCGAGCCGTATGCGGGCAGGCTAGCTTGTGCTTACTGGGACATTGTGAAACTATTGTAATTAACAAAATTACCTATAAGCAATATAACAGCAACGTAACATTGTGAAACTATTGTAATGGATAAAATTACCAATAAGCAATATAACAATAACGTAACATTGTGAAAGTATTGTAATGTAACAAAATTACCAATAAGCAATATAACAGCAACGTAACATTGTTAAACTATTGTAAAATAACAAAGCAAAATTTTACTTCTCCCACTCTCGAGAAATCTTCTTTTTCTCCCACTTGTCGCACAATATACTATTCTTACACCAAAATTGAGAAAAACATAACTACAATTTAATGCATTAGTCACTAGTGAATTAAGTAACTTAATGCACTAGTGTATTAAATGTTTGAGGTGTATGTATCTTGTGTTTGAGTAGATAATAGTGTATTATGTATCAAGTTTTATAAACGCCATTTTAGTTACGAGTTTTATTAGGCACGAGCGAAGCTTGCGAGCAAGTGTTTAATAAAAACTAGTGTCTAGGGAAGTTTATAAAACGAGTTGCATACTATACTTTATCTATGACGAACACAAAGAAGAATTTAAAGCCAATTTTATTTCTTAAACATTTGATATCCGCAAATTATAAACGGATTTAACCTCACTTTTCCCCTTATTTATAATAAAGCCAACTTCAGCCAGTGACTAAATTGCCCAAAAGCCACTATTGCCAACTTCAGCCCATGACTAAAACGCCATAAAGTCACAGCTTGTCAATGTAGTATATTATACATCAAGTTTGATAAATGCAATTTTAGTTACAAAATGAATTTACACAAGCAAGTGTTTAATTAGACCTAGAAAAGTTTATTAACGAGTTGCATACTATACTTTTTCTAAGACAAATACTTTACAAATGATTTATATAAAATATTTGTAGAGCGACTATATACAAAAATAGAGATACATAAATGTGTGTTTTAAAGGTGTGAGTAGAAAAAATTATAAATGACTTCCTTTGGGGTTTACAATTATATAATGTCTTTATAATATTTAACCACAGAATAATGATAAAAAATGTGGTTAAAGTTTACATTGTATCTATTAATGATGCAACAATGATGAAAACTATGATGCAATCTGGTAAAATTTGTAGGTACTTACCACTTTGGTCAAGAACTCTCCTTATCAAATATTGTGCAACAATGCCTCTTAGGTCCTTACGCTCCCTTAGCCTGACACAGCTGCAATTTAAAGTGTTTGCCAGAGACTGTAAAGTGGCAACTGCCGCTTCAAGTTCATCATTTAGCAAACCATTTTCACTGCCATCATCAGATAAACCAACCTAGACAAGAAAAATAACTTTAAGTACTTTTGTAAATTACCCAAGGGTTACTTTACCTCCAAAATCACTTCCCCCCTTCCTTCTCCAAGTTGTTGTTTCAACCTTTTTAACAAAAGTTCAAACTGTTCCTCAGTTGGTGCCACAAGAACATTTCTTCCCAATATTTTATCAAACTCATTTTCTTTAGGGTTTTTTTCCACAAATGAGCTAAGGGACTCCTTGGGATCACTCATAACTTACAATCTACTGAAAAAATAAATCACAAAAAAAGTGCAAGTGATTTGATTTTTTGGCATTCCTCTATGTAGAAATCAACGATTTGATTTTTAAGTGTCTGAAACAATATAAATAGAATAAAAAAATTGGAACTGATTTCAAGCTTATATAATTTACCCATAAACATGTTTAAAACACTATATAAAACTGTACAATTAACATTTATCTTTCTTGAACGGCTCATTTTGTATCAATAATTCAAAAAGGCTTTTTATGGGGTATTTATAACTTTTATACATATTACATATGGATAAGAAAACCACATAAAATAAGTGGGAGGTTAACAAGAATAGCAGGAAATAAATAAAGCGTTAGATTACCCATTATTATGCAATTTAAAAATAATGATGCAAGGGGGGTATTTCTATATTGACAAATAAATGTAATAATTATAAATATTTACTTACAGCTTTTGACATTCACATTAGAGATGACAACACGTAAACGAAAATTAGCTACAGAACATTTTAGAATTTGTAGATCAAATTACAATTTTTAGGTTAAATGTATCGTAGTTCATTTGTAGATAAGAGATAAAGTTAAATTTGATGTTTGAAGTGCGACGTTGCCACACATTTTAGGTCTAACGTGCTAACGTGCTAGAGGCTGTAGCAAAGTATTCCTCAAGGTTATGACGATTTGCTGTCATTTTGGTTATGCAGGTACACTGCATTGTGCCATACCAAACTAACCCAAACTTAACAACCCAACCGACCCCGCCCCATTGGGCCCCTTCACATAATAGTTTAAATGTACCAAAATATAGGTTATGTTTTGATACTATTATGTGAAGGGGCCCAATGGGGCGGGGTCGGTTGGGTTTGGTTGTTAAGTTTGGGTTAGTTTGGTATGGCACCAGTATTGCCAATTGCTTTTGGCAAAATTACACCCAAACTCTCCAGAATTACACCACATTACACCCCAACAAAAATTAAGCCTGATTTTAAATCAGTGATTTATAACATTGAAAATGTCGTATGCCGAAACCCATATTAGTTAAAGGTGTAAATCATTATTTGTTTTGCATTTAACTAAAAGTGCTTTCTTATAAAAAACGTTTAAACATAAAGAATTCTTATTAAAAACTAAAAATCAAAATAAACGTAGATAAAAAAATTAATTAATTAATTAATAAAAATAATAAATTATTATTTTCAATCCCCCAAATTGCGTCAAACAAAAGCCCAGTCCGTCATAAAATTGTATCTGGGGAGGGGCGTTCGGGTTCACTCGGGTTTACTCGAGTGTCTACAAACAAATAGAGATGGCTGCAGTAAAAATTAATTTATAAATGCGCCCGTCGTCCTTTATAAAATAATTATTTCTTTATAAAATATTGTTTTTAATAAAATTATTTTTTTATAAAATTTTTTTTTTATAAAATAATTTTTTTTATAAAATTATTTCTTTATAAAATAATTTTTTTATAAAATTATTTTTTTATAAAATAATTTTTTTTTATAAAATTATTTTTTAATAAAATAATTTTTGCGAATCAAAAATAATAATAATTTTATAAAGCATATAATTAAATATATATAAAACAAAATAAGTTTGTTTAGCACTTTTAATTTTGACACAAACGGCGCCTCATATTTTAAATACTAAAACTAAAATTTTAATGTATTTTATGTAAAAAAAAACAACCATTATTTGACATTTTTTGTCGTTTATTATAATTATTAAATTGAAAGGACAACAAAGTAAACAAGTTTCAGTATTTTTTATTCAAATAAGCCCTCAAAATTTAATGCATAACATAATTTTGCTTTTTTCTACCTTAAATTTATTAAATCGTATCAAATATCAAATTGGATTATAGTATTGCTTAATCCGAGGGGTCACCCACACCTGGGAATCCCTGGACATTTTAGAGGGGGAATACCATAGGAATAAAATATAATGGGAATACATGGGAATCCCTGGACGTTTTCCCTTTGGGTGGTTGACCCCTCGGCTTAATCCTCATCATCGTCGTACATCTTCTGCTACAAATTCCAGCAAATGTCTCCTAGCAATGAATCTTCTTTCCGCTATACCCATAGATCTCTACCAATGCTCTAGATTTGCAGTTACTCGGTAAAATCGTTCTCCATGTTCATCAGTTCGGCAAATTTATCAGGGTGAAAAAAAATATATATTAACGCTAATTCTTTGCAAAACAGAAAGCATTTTTTCAATGAATATGCGCCAATTTTAGGCCCGATATGAACCAAGAACATTTTCAATGACAGCTTTAACACTGCCATATGCGACAAGCTCGTCAACTTTGAGAGCATTTTTGAATGCTTGATCTTTAATTAAACGTCGTATATCAGGTCCATTTAATATTCCTCCAAAATTAAAGTAGTAGGTATATCTCATAAAATTTTGTAATGAAATATTGCGTTGGTTTTTCTTGGGCGTAAAGGTACCGCAACAAAATAAATGTTCGTCTCCTTTCTCTTTCTCTGCCACTTCCATTACCATTTCCATTTCCTGCTCTTTTTTCATTTTTGGTTTTTAAAATCACTTTCAAGTAAAAATACAATTTTAAGTTTAAATTTTAAATGTCAATAATTAATAGATGCACTTTAGTGTGCTTGAACGATAAGACTTAATAAATAAGATTCGAGATTAAATTTTTGGGTACTTTAGGCATGATGTGAATAAAAACATATCAAATAATAGTCGAATAGTATACTATAATGCTTATACCGAAACCCATTTACTTTGTTGCCTTTTCAATTTAATTAGTACCTAATTAAAAAAACGACACAAAAATTTCAAAAAATTATACTTTTTACCAATTAATCATTATAATTTTAGTTTTGGTATTTAGTAAAGAACTTCTCTGCAGGAAAGTGCTTTATTAAATATCCCTTATAAAATACTACTATATATAGTACCTATAACTATTAATGGAACAAACAAAATTTCTATTTGACATTTATCTACCGATGACTTTGTATGGAGTCCCTGTATATTTTTGACAAAAAACTTCAAAAATATACTGAACATCCAAAATAGATTTAAGCATAGATAACAAGGCAAAATAAATAATAATCATCAAAATATTAACAAAAAACTTACATTTTGAGATAATTGGGCAGAGCATTTTATTACGCAATTATTTGGAATCCTAGACGTCCTGTAGCAAAACGAGAGGCATTTTTGAAATCAGCAGCCCAAAATTATAGGTGGGCGTACTCAATGTTAGTAAATCGAACTATCATAGTGTTATTATTAGAAATATGTGACTTTATGACGTTTTAATCACGGGCTTAAGTTAGCAATAGTTGCTTTTGGGTATTTTAGTCACGGACTGAAGTTGGCTTTATTATAAATTAAGGAAAGTAAGGTTAAATCCATTAAAATTTGACAGGTGTCAAAATTTTATCAAATAAAAATGGCTTTAAATTCTTCTTTGTGTACGTCGTAGATAAAGTATAGTATGCAACTCGTTCTATAAACTTCTCTATACACTAATATACTATTATGTATCAATTTTTATAAACACCATTTTAGTTTAATTAAGCACGAGCAAATCTCAGGGTTGCCAGATTTTGCAAATGAAAAAGCGGGACACCCAAATCTCTGTTAAAAAAAATGTTTCGAAAAATTCAAAATTGTCTCGAAAAATTCAAAATTGTCTCGAAAAAAAATTCAAAACAAATATAATTTTTTAATTATAAAATTATAAAAAAATATAAATATATATAATCTAAATATTTAAATGTATTTTTCACATGATGGAACTTTTTCAAGAATTTCTTTTCCATTGCTTATTAAAAAATTAACAAATTCTTTACATGTCTTTTTATTATTAGTTTTGATCATCAATTCAGCTTCTAATTAGAAAAAAAAAATGGGTTAAGCTTAAACACATTAATGTGTTTAACCCATTTTTTTTCAAACTGTTCTCATCAAACTAAAAATTGTTTCGGTATAAAAAAATTAATTGATGTTGGATGCTCTTTTAAAGAATAAGTCCACATTACATCGACATCTTCCGTGTTGTTCAAAATTTTAACAAAAGTAGGTAGGACAAACTCCTCAAATAAAATGTCTTCATCAACAGAAATTTTAAATTGTGAAGCAACTTCTAAGTATTTATTTAAATTACTAAACACTAAGCAATATCATGGGACTGTTCAGAATCAGATTAGTAGAATTTTAATAATTTAGTTTTTATCAAAATATTTAAGCATCAACGGAAAGGTTTTTATGTTGCCTTTATTTGAAGCGAAATTGGATGGTGTTCAGAAAGATCTTCTAAAATATTTTTTTTGCTATGGGGTCCCAAAACATTTGTGAGTTTTGTTCTGCCACAAATAAAGCTACACTCAGCAATTACCTTTTTTGCGTCATCTCCCGTTCGATTAAACATTTTTTAAAGTGCATTTGTGTTTGCTAAATTTTAAATGTTCTTTTTGTGTTTTACACTTTTCATATGCTTTTGAATATCATTTTCGCCCCCATTACTCAGTGAAAATTAATGCTTGATTGCGATTGGACCCGATGCACACAATAACAAGTGATAAAATTGCCTTAAAATATGCTGATCTTTAATTAAGTTTTTTTAGACGTAGATCATAATTTTCCTGTATTTTGTAAAAATTTTAAATTATTCCCTTTTTTCGTTCGCAATTTTGAAAGATATTTAAAAATCGGGATTTTCGACGTGCAAATTGGAAGGCGGGACAAATCGGGACACATCAATAAAAATCGGGACAGTCCCGCCTAAATCGGGACGTCTGGCAACCCTGGCAAATCTTGCGAGCGAGGGTTTAATAAAAACGAGTGCCTAGAGAAGTTTATAAACGAGTTGGATAATAGTATGACGAGATGTGACTTTTTGGCGTTTTAGTCACGGGCTTAAGTTGGCTTTATTAAAAATTGAGAAAAAGTAGGGTTAAATTTGAGTGACAGTTGACGGACGTCAAATTTTTAACAAATAAATTTAGCTTTAAATTGATTTGTGTTTTTCGTAGATAAAGTATAGTATGCAACTCGTTTGTAAACTTCTTTAGACACTTTAAACTCGTAACCAAAATGGAATATATATTCAGTATATACTGTTATAGTGTATTCTATTTATAGTATAAACCATGATCTAATTATATAAACTAATTTATAAACTATAGTTTATAATTATATCATGCCCAGTAAGCACAAGCTAGCCGGCCCGAATACGTTTTGCCGAATCGGCCGCGTGCGACCCGACACGTATTTCTTCCGGCGTGTAGAACGGCCATTCAAAAAAGCCTACAGACGTCCTGGAGAGATATATCCTATAAGTTCATTCTGAAATTATCTGAATGGCAAGATACTTCTTTAACTCACTAGTCATTATTCGTTAGGGGTCAACCATTAATTACGTGAGGCAATTTTGGCGATTTTTCGAAAAATTACGTGATATTTGCCGAGACCACCCTCCCCCCACGTGAGATTGGGTGAGGTTTGGCTCGACCCCCTCCCCCCCTAAACACCTCACGTAATTAATGGATGCCCCCTTACTGAGCAGATGAGGATGGATATGGGGACTCCAAACCAGAGTTGCCAG